ACTGCCGCTACTAGTATTATATTATAGCTCTTTTAATTTTAAGACCCCTATAAGGCTATAACCCTATAATAAATAAATAAGATTACTAATAAGCTAGAGAAGGTTCTAGAATATAATATATCTCTTAAACCTAATTTTACATATAATATTAGTCGCTTTATTTATAGCTCTCTTATTACAGCTATTAAGCTTATATAAATAAAGAGAGACCTTAAGCGTATTAAAGCAGCTTAATTACTATTATAATAACGTAAAGCTATTAAAAATTATATATTATAAACTAATAATATTCTTTTTATAATTAACGTATATAAGATAATTAAATAAAAGGCTATTAATAATATTACTTATACTTATTAAATAATTAAGGTAATTAAGAAAAAGCGCTATAATTAAGTTAAATAAGCGTTTTTTAAAGCTATTAAAAAGGTATATTAATAACATTAAAATTTTATATTAAAATCATTAAAAATTTAAGATAAAAAGAGTGTATATTATATATAAAGAGGTTAATTTAATTATTAAATTAAAAATTAACTCGCTTTAATAGGTAGCTTACCTTATTATCAAGCATTACCTTTAGGTAGTAAGTAAAACGAGACACCTAAAATAGTAGGGCGGGCACGATTATTGCTCGCACGCCGACCGAACCTGGCTTTTGCTATTGGGGCTACTAATATAATTGCTATTCTGGTGCTACTAGCCCTAATACTTTTAAAGCTAAATAATGATTGGCTGGATGTTGATTAAATTGGTAATAAGTGGGCCCAGGTTGGTGGCCACGACACGCTCAGGTCAGGTAGTGAGCTCTGGTGGCGTGGCAAGCATCTCAACCACCAGCAGCCTGTTCACCTCATCATCACCATACCACCCATAGCTCGCCCCAATCGCCGCACCGCGCTCGCCAATTCGCATCGCAATCGCCACAATGCCGCCCTCCGTAGCACAAGACGACGTTGAGCAAGTGCCCGAGGACACAACGTCGACCCAACAACCCGGCGACGTCGAAATGACGGAGGAGCACGAGGCCACACGGGGGCCGGAAGTTGAAGAAACGACCAGCAAAGACGAGGAGCCTCCCAGGACGTCCTTCATGTCATATTTGTCGTCGCCCGTGGTCACACTCGTCGTTGGCTCAGACGAGAACCAAACCCTCCTCACCGCGCATCAGGCATTGCTCTGCAAAAGCCCTTACTTCCAGGACCTGTGCCAAAGGTTTGTGGACGACGGCAGCGTACGTGTACTCAATTGCCCCCTCCCTCTTTCCGCAGCGATGCCGCGTCAAGTTGCAGCTGACACTGGGTTAGCCGCGGCAAATTGAACTCTCCGAAGACACGCTCGCCGTCGGCTCGTTCCTCGAATTCCTCTACACGGGCGAATACTTCCCAAGAAAGATTCCCGGGCAGCGCGTTCTCGAAGTCGACCCTGAAATGCCAAAGGTTGACGATACAGGCGTACACTTGCTTAAGCACGCGCGGGTGTACACGCTCGCTGAGAAATTTGGCGTGCCCGAGTTGAAGAAGCTCTCGTCGAGCAAGATTCACTGCATCGATTCTACGGCCAAGGGCGAGATTGAGTACGCGAGATATGTGTATGCGCACACTACCAACGACGATACAAAGGTTCGCGCGCCAATCGCAAGCTTCTGGGCCACGAGGTCGCATACCCTGCGTGCCGAGGCGGAGAACGAATTCAAGTCCTTGTGCTTGGAGTTTCCTCAATTTGGTTATGACGTTCTGAGTACGTTTTTTCTTTCTTTCTTTCTCTAATTCTCTCGCCCTTTGTTTCCTGGCCCCAGTACTGCTTTGTGGCAGACGCGGCGCTTAGTGGATTTGCTAACACATTGTTCACAGCCCGCGTTCTGGACGACAAGCTCAGGCGCGAACGAATTGACAAGATGCACCCTGCTACCACGAGCGGCCGCAAGCGTGCAAGACACAGCAGCAGCGCCGCCGGATCGGTTTCTTAGGGCTAATCAAGTTTGTTCTTGGCTTGGGGAATTTTGCGGTTTTGGAATTGGAGATTCCGGAGATGCGTTTAAATGACTGGGATACGGATATGGTGCAACGTGGTGCGCTAGTCACGGTCAGCGTTGGGCGCATATGAAGTACAGTTGGGCTGGAGATTGTTATCTTGTAATATACTCGTGCTCCAGTGTTATCTCTCTTCCTCTATATAAGAGGTTTAGGCTGGGTATCTTATATATAGAGAAGATATGGGTTCTCACTGTTTTCAGAGGAGGCTTGTGCTCAACCTTGCGCGGCGATTCAATAAGTACAGCAAAAGACTTGGAGGGAAGTTTGAAGCACCTGAGACACGTCGAATGATATTTGATCGGGCGGGGTGAATATTCATTCACTTGCGTTCCTTCTCGTCATGGGGTAATGTTGAGGAGTTACTACTAACCGTCATGCCATAACCATAGATCTATTATTACAAGAACATCTCTCACCACCCACGGAACGAGCTGCAAAGCCAGCGACGGCAAGAACTGGAGCAATATTGCGTCCGAAGGTGCGGAGTAGGCTATTGAAGATGGACTAGCCCAGAGTGAGGTTTGCAAAGTGGATGAAACGTGATGCTAATAATAGACTAGATGACGTTGATGGGATGGCATTGACGGCATACGCTGCCGCGCTATTTCGTGGACAGGTTGACGAGGTGCCGAGCTTGAGGGATTTGAGGGACTGCGAGAGCTCCAAAGGAATCAAAACAACAGCCAAAGTAGCTGCATGCATTT